GACACTCGGCCGTGCCCCACTTGCCAGGGGCGGAAAAATGGCCGCGGACCACGTGTCAGGGGCGGAAAAATAGCCGTGGACCACGTGTCAGGGGCGGAAAAATGGCCGCGGACCACGTGTCAGGGGCGGAAAATGGCCACGGACCACGTGTCAGGGGCGGAAAATGGCCACGGACCACGTGTCAGGGGCGGAAAATGGCCACGGACCACGTGTCAGGGGCGGAAAATGGCCACGGACCACGTGTCAGGGGCGGAAAATGGCCACGGACCACGTGTCAGGGGCGGAAAATGGCCACGGACCACGTGTCAGGGGCGGAAAATGGCCACGGACCACGTGTCAGGGGCGGAAAATGGCCACGGACCACGTGTCAGGGGCGGGAAAATGGCCGCGTATCCTGTTGGTACCCCAGGGGGGGGTTCGCAAACCGAGGTAAATTTTTGCGGCCGGAGCTGGTCGTAACCCGAAAAGTTCGTTAACAGAGGCGTTCGTAACCCGAGGTACCACTGTAGTATCAAAAGGCACTGAAAATCCAAGAGGATCAAGAAGAGTGTATTTCCTCATCTCTCTCATAATGTAAACCATCCATCATGCCAAATCTGTGCTGAAATCAAGATCGAAAAGGATTAGATAATCAATTTAATTCAATCGCTCTGGAGCTGCAATACTACTGCCTTCTCCACCAGCTTTGCCAAATGTGGAAAATTTAACGCTGGGTGATAGTTGATAAAGTTGGTGGGGTCCAAAGTTGGCCCTTTAAGGGCCTTACTAGGACTTCCTTTAAAGTGGCACAGAATTGCTAGACTGTGTCATAACTATTAAATTGGAAGGAAGTGCCACTCTGTTTGTCTTCTAATGTTATTTCTAATGTATGCATGTGCTTTTAGCTACTTAAAGTATTTCTGTGACAAAATTTACTTAACTTGCTTTCTAGAAAGAACTGATTGCTTACTGATTCATGCACAATCTTAGTTTCCAATTTGTGCCTTCACAGTTTCTCTGTTATCTAATTGCAAATAATGTCCTGAGATTAGTTTACCATATGCTTCAAAATTCATTGCAGAGGAATAAGTTAATTCATTACAGAAGAGAGAGGTTCAAATCTTTAGTTCCTGAAAGGACTCTCCCAGGGGCCACAGGATTTTTCATATTTCCTTTGCTCCAAGGGTCAGGGAAGCGCTCTAATCTTGAGAAAGTGGGGGGATTGAAATCCAATCCATGTCCATTCAAGCCTCCAATACTGGTTCTTTCAAACTTTGGAGTGCCAGTGTCTGAAAAGGGGCTGAGGGAGGCAAATGAGGGGCTGGTGCGAATATATATATAGAAGGAAACCAGTATTGGTCGGATCTTATATTTTCTGTCCTGAGATTCAACAAATTTGCATCTTCTAGCTTCCACCATTTTCTTGAACTAGCTGCTAATTTACCCAGCCCAGAACTGCATAGATTAATTCTCTTACCATTAGTTTCAATGGGAGGGAGTATATTAGAAAGAGGCATAAAATATTGCTGCCTTCAAGCTCCTTAGGCTTGAATAAATCTCAGAAGCCTTTGCTACCAGACCCTTCCATGTCAATAAAGAAAATTGCTTTGTGAATCTCTAATTTCCATACCATACTGGCTGGTTTCTGACAAGTACTTCTTTTCAATGCTTATTCTCAATAATAATGTCCCCATTTATAAGCATGTTTCTCTTTTGGTTTCTTTTAGGGTGAATTTGTCAATGAATATGTTGGTGAATTAATCGACGAGGAAGAATGCAGATTGCGAATTAAACGTGCCCATGAGAACAGTGTGACCAATTTTTATATGTTAACTGTTACAAAGGTAAAAGGATGCTTGATGTGTGTGTGTGTGCATGCACGCGTGTTTGTAATGTCACCTCAGCATCAGATGTGTTACGGTTTTCATGACAGTCAAATTTCTGTATGTGAAATCCACCAGCAAAACCTGAGCTACATTATCAAGAGTTTCCAATGAGCCCTAAATGGTCACTCTATAATCTTTCTGCAGGGACTGTGAAAATAGGAAAGGTGTTTAGTATGTAAGAACCCCTAAGGAAATAAAAACCAGGAACACTTCATGAGACCATTCTTTCGGACTGAGTTGTAAGAGTTGTTGCCACATGATATGAAATGTAATAAATGGGGAGGGGGGGCAAGGTCTCAGTTAAAATGGGAGAAAATGGGCATCAGCAAATGGGTGCCTTCTAAAGCTCAGTCCTTCTGCCCATCTCCCAGTCCTTAAACCACAAGTTCTTAGGATTTATGCTAAAGGGGAAGTTGCTTCTTTCTAGCCCAGATCCCAGCTTGAGCCAATAAAAGCTGCTTCACACCACCATTCAGCATGGTCCTAATCTTGTGTCATCCCTTAGAGGCAGGCAAGATCAAGAAATAAGAGCAGCAGATGTTCTTCTTGTTGCCTGGTAGAAGAACAAAATCTTGAAAGTCTGTCTCTCTACTCCATCTCAGATCAAACAAAATCAAGACAGGGTTATTTTGAGTTTCCTTCTCATGCTTGCTTCTTTCCCAGGACATTCTGGAAACTGTTCATCCTTAACCATTCGTTCCTCCCTTCGCCATTCCCAGGGCCAGGTTGACATTCCATCACCCCTTGAGTCTAAGTAGTCAAGAGGAGTGGATGGGGTGAAGACAAAAACTTACACTTGTGATGGAGGTTCGGGGTCATGGAGAAAAGCATCTCCTCAGCCCCCAGGCTGAGCGTGGGAAAGCGAAGAGGATGAGACTGGCACCACCCTAAGGAATTTGTAGTGTTTAGTTGCAGGCTTTGGGAGTTAGAGTTAGTCTGGCAAGATTCTGTCTAGCAGGTGCAAGCTAATAAAGTAACTGAGCCCAGTACTGTCTCATGGAGTTTCTTGGGCTGAACCTGACACACCTTTTTTTCAACCTGAAATACTCCATCACCAGGTAGGCATCATTCTGCCTCCCCCCACTGCCCTTTCTTGGATGTCTGGGATGTCTTTATATAAGCCAGGCGCTACTAATATATGGAACAGTAGTAGCAGCTGGCATGTGTCACTTCCATAGCATTGCACATTCATGGCCTCAGATAACTAGCCAACAAGACAAGGCAGAGTTATTACTCCCATATTGCAGCAGAATGTGTTGGCGTTAACAGCTCTTGCCAGTTTTTGTGGCTGAGGCTGGAACATGTAATAGGAACATCAGAAGCTGAATTTCTGCCAGGTCAGACAGTCTGCTCCTATATTGATGTTCAGTTTTGCAGCAGCAGCATCAACATACCCTTTCAGCAGTTTAAGCTATCCCTTCTTTAATCGATGGTATGTTAATTACTGCATCCTTTATCTTCTTCAAGGACCGCATAATAGATGCTGGACCAAAGGGAAACTATTCTCGCTTTATGAACCACAGCTGCAACCCCAACTGTGAAACCCAGAAGTGGACAGTGAATGGAGATGTCCGAGTTGGGCTCTTTGCTTTATGTGATATTCCTGCAGGTAAATGTGCTTCTGAACATTCCCATTGCCTTTGGAAGGGAGTGTGGGTAGTTCAACCTCTTTGTTGCCTTTTTCTTCTAAGAGTCCTTTGTTCTGTATAACTCCCATAATACTCCGATCAATCTCTGGATTGTGTCCTACATCCTCCTACTGCCCAAGAATGCAGGGAGCATGTGATCTAGATGTTCCTTTCTAGGCTTGGTGCTCCTGGACTCCTTCCAGTACTTTCCTTGCTTTTGACCTGGATAGGGATATTAACTCTTTTGCTTTCAGGTTTTACACTACCACTTAGCTCTTTTTTCTTCATTCACCTTCTCTTGATAAATATTTTCTCTGAACAGTTTGAAAAACATCTCTGTTTGTCGTTTAAGCCCCTGCCTTTTGGCCCATATTGACTCTGCTCCCGGGACTGGATGGAAAAATGAACTGTTTCCCAGGGCAAACAAACAAAAAAGCAGCAAATGAGACAAGTTTGTATTTGGAGAAAGAGAAAGCAAAAACCCTTGAGGTGCTTAGAAGACTCCTGCCTCAGTATCCACGCAGTGTGCTTATTTATGGAGAGATCCTGATCTGTGACAGTAAAGCTTCAGCTAGACCCAGGAGGCAACCCAAATTTCTTCTTCTGGAATAAGTGTGCTTGTTTGTGCAAGCAAAGCCAAACTGAAATGTCTCCAGACTATACTTGCCAGCTTCTATTGCTCAAAAGGTTTTCCAGTTTTGGAATGCTGATGGAGACCAATCATGACCTGTCCCAACGGGTATATCTGGAGATGGTGATGATTATTTAGATTGAGAAGCCATCCAACCTCAAAACAGTTCTGGATGGCTTACAGTTAAAGAATAGAAAACAGAAACAAAATCCTATCCATCTAGGCAACCACACCCCATATAACAAAAACCACTTTAACGATGCCATAGGGAAGGGCACAGTATGACAATTTCATCCCTAACTTCTCAAGGTCTGTTGGTTTGTTTTTTGCGAAAACTATCCCAGCTTGGGATAAGGATATTGTATACATAATTGCTTTTTTGTTTGTTTATTATTTATTGCATTCTGTCACAATCTACCCTCAGTGACTTACATGATATAGCAAAAAGTTCAAGCTTTTTTCACATGATGATTAAAAATACTAATCAAGTAACCATCATAAAACTCCAGACCAAAAAACACAATATAACCCATAGAAAATGCTGAAAAAGAACAAGAATAAAAAGGAACAAACAGTGGCACAACACAAACTCCGTTACAACACTCTTCAAAATAGTTACATTTTTGCCCTCTTTCTAAAAACCAACAAGGAGGTAGCTAGGCTGGTCATCACTGAGAAACTGTTCCAGAGCATTGATGCCCCCATGGAGAAGCAGAACTTCCTGGCTTTGGTTCCCTTCACTTCTCAGAAGGATGGAAAAATGACAAGGTTCTCCCTAGATCAGTATTAAACCTTTTGCTCTCAGGACCACTTCCCACTTTTAAAAATTATGGAAGTCCCTCAAAGAGCTTTTGTTTGGGTTATATTAATCGATATTTACCATATTATAAATTAAAATTGACCCATTCGTAGAATATTTATTTATTGAATCATGTAAAATAACAATATTTAACCCATTAGATATTAACATAAATAAAATATTTTCATGAAAAAATCCTATTTTTTTAACAAATAAAAATATAATAATGTGACATTATTTCACGTTTTTGCAAATTTAAAATATAATCATGATTTTGATATTGCGGACCCTGAGAAGATCTTGCGGAGCGCACTTTTTAAGAAACACTGTCTAGATGATCTAGTAGGTACATGACAGAGATCAAAATCCTAACACAGGGATAAACAATATGTGATCCTTCAGATCTTGTGGAATCCCATCAGCTCTAACCAATGGGTGAGGAATGATAGGAATTTCAGGAGGGCTAGGTATTACCACCCCATCACTAGCATTCCACACACTATAGATTAGATTAAAAGTGTAAAGAATAGAAATAAGAGGCTACTTCCAGGGAGTGGCGGGTTTTCTGTTAGATCAAGGATTTGAAACTGGTTATGTTCCATGGTGGTCATTTTGCTAATGGTGAGCCCCACATTAGCATCCATAGTGTCTTCTCAAAATTATGTCCATCAACGCCAAAAGAATGAGGACTCATATCTTAAGAGCTTGACAAGATTTGTAATTAAAGTACTAAAGAATACCTGCCTAAAACTGCTGTCCCTCAGTGGCATTTTCCATCATGATTAAAGGTATTGGAACAATCCACATTCTCCATCAGAGATGACTTCTGCAAATTCCATAAGGAGAAACTACAGCCTTGGGAACTTACTTTACTTTTATTTTGCCCTATATACTTCATCCTTTAGGGGAGTTTTGCACAGGCTGCACACAAACAGAACATTCAAGATGTATATCCCTTTCACAAAATCTTTCTGGTATAATTGGCACCTTAATTGTTTCATTAACATCCTGGTGGAGACAAGTCTTCCAACTTACTTTAGTAACGTAAAACAACACTAAGCATATTTAACTAAAATGTTAGTTATTTAGTGCTCATAAGAAAAAAACACAAGAAAAACCCTTCTTGTAAGCAGTTCCTACATGTATCTGAAAACAAGGAATTATGTTTCTTCTTTTCAAACTTTTATTTATACACCAATTTAATTAATTCCTCCATCAGACACATTGTTGCCAACAGAAAGTACACAGCTGCCCCTTAAGGAGAACCCTGAAAGTGGGGTCTGCAGAAGCAAAGAGTTGCTAGCTTTACATTCACTGACTCCAAACAGGAGTCTTGCGGGTCCAGTCCAGGCCTGTCAGTTATGCCTACTCTGGAGCTGGCATGGAAAAAACCCTCCCACTATAATCAAGGAGAAGGTACTTTAGAAAAATCAAACTTCATTTGGGAGAAAAAAGAAAAAATACATGCACATCGATTTCTGTCCTGGGTGGCATTGAGACGGCTAGGATCTAGAAGTGGTAGAGCCCCTTCTTGCTCTCTTCTGCTTTAGGATCATGTGGCTTGATCTGTTTTCATCAGGTGGCACATCACTCCAACATTACAGTGTATTTGCTATGGTTTTGGCCATGTGTGACTGCCAGTTTTGCCTTCTATTAACATATGCACAGTAAATACACGTAAGGTGCTTACTACTGTAAACATAGGCAAAACATAATTTTCAAGGCATGAAAAGTACTGAATTTTCAAGTTGCAGGAAACACCATGGATGACCAAATTATGCTGCCATGTATCGTAACTCGTTTTATCATAAGGCATGAAGTTCTGATGCCCAGTGACAGCGGAGAAGCAGGGGGAAACGAGAGACAGAGATGCTAAAAGGGAGAAGTAAGGGAGAAATTCCCGTATTAATTCTGCAAGCCACTGTATCATATTAGATAAAAATAAGAATTCTTTGACTGACAGTGAAGATAGCAATCACATTTTTAATATTTTGTTGACTAGACAAACTTATTTAAAGATTTCACCTGGGCTGATACATCACTCTTTTCTGAAGCAAAAAAAAAGTGTACCTACATACTTTCCCAAGTATAAACTAATTCTCTTGAATTTACAGGGATGGAGTTAACATTTAACTATAATTTGGATTGTCTGGGGAATGGCAGAACTGAGTGCCACTGTGGAGCAGAAAACTGCAGTGGATTCCTAGGAGTACGGCCAAAGGTTAGTCATGCAAGTGGGGAAAGGCCTCTTGGACAAAAGCCACAGATAGATTGAATATCTGTCTGCACATCCTCTGTCTGTTTATGCTCACTCGTCAGAACAAGCGAGGACTTTCCTCCTGGTCTTTCTCCCCTGCTTCATTTAGGGGTGGGTGCTCATCTGAACTCAAGTTCAGATCTCATCGTCAGATATCAGGGCTTGAGCATTAGAACAGCAGTAAGCTTAGAGGGCATGGGGAATGGCCTTGAAGTACAGGAAGCAGAACCGCTACGAAGGCAATGGTCAGATAAGAGGGGCTTGAGCCTGTTCCAAGAAACAAATTGGAGAGAATATCTCAGGCAGGCCCCTCCCTAGTTCACATGGAGATGGAGGGAGGAAGCACATTCAGACTTGCAAGACTCTGTTAGTATAGAAGTTACAATAAAAGTAGCCCTGACCTATATGGCTTTGGTTTCTTAGCCCGGTCTACCTCTGCTTGTGGGGCTGACAGTAAGAGAGCTGTGCCTCCTTTTTCTAATAATTGTACTTTATTAACATACTTCTTGGCCTTTCCCTCTACCTATTCAGACGGCATGCGCAACAGCAAATGAAGAGAAGGCAAAGAATGCCAAACTAAAACAGAAGAAACGGAAGATAAAAACAGAGCAGAAGCAGATGCACGAAGACAATTGTTTCCAGTGTGGAGATGGGGGTGAACTAGTCATGTGTGACAAAAAAGACTGTCCCAAAGCATACCACCTCCTCTGCCTTAACTTGACACAGCCACCCTTTGGTAGGTACCTCCAATTTTGAGGGAGCTGTAATTGGGCCTTTTTTGCATAAAAGTATGTGTGCAAAAGACATCTGGCTGTTTCAGCTCTGTTTCCGTACTGTAGTTGTGAAGAAGTTAACCAGGGAAGACTCTGCTATCTCCCGGAAACAAAGTAGTACCACCCACACAACAGAGCAGTGGGGAACATGCCTTTTTCAAGATACCTGTACTCAGTTCCCACAGCCCCATCAGGAACTGCAAAGGATGTTGGCACATTTGGGGTGTCCTTGCTTCCCCTCAGTTTACACGTTCTCCCATGAATCCTTTAGGGGATCCTGAAAAGACCCTCTTAAGCTGACCTTTCCATAGGATTGGCTCCACTCTGCTTGAGAATACTTTTTGGCTTGAAAGTACAAGGCCAGCCCAATGCTTGGACAAGTGCCATGTATTATGTGAGCCACACAGGTTAGGCAAGTCACTTGATTGCAGCCGTGTTACTGGGCTTTATCTTGCTTTCTGTTTGCCTTTAAGTTATTTGGTTGGTAGATTTTTGTTAGCACTTCTGAGAACATAACATTTTGCCCTGCTAATTCCTATATGTTAATCTATCACGCTGAGGTTGCAGTAGTTCTCTGGGCTCCTCTCTCAGAGCTCCTACAGTCAAGACATTTTGTCTCTCCTGTTACTAGAACAGGATCACAATGAATTTTTGCCTAATAATGATTGTACTTTCTAGAGTAAGTACTGTCTGACTTCACTAGTATATGGAATGAATCAGGGTTTTTTTTAATGAATCGTACAACAGTAAATACAGATGTTTTCCATGATCCTAACGTAAGTAAGGTTTGTCTTTATGGCAAAAGCTAATAAACCAATAATACATTTTTAAGGAGAACTAAATTTCTGCACTGCAGGGATAGGAAAACCTTCCAGATGGTTTAGTCTACATTTCCAACAGTCTCAAGTCACTGGCCATATAAGTTGGTGCAGCTGGAAGATCATATCCAGAACACTTGAGGGGTAGCAGGCTGCTTCCTCCTGCTGTGCTGATAACTAGGTTCCTTTTAACTACTCTTAACAAGTACAGAATGTATTCAAAACTAGTTCTTTCAAATTACTCATCTACTGCCTCATTACTGTGTCAGGAGTCTTCTTGTTTTCCATGGAGACTGGACATTTGCTTGAAAAAAAGTAGTAAGAGAAAGCTCCCAATAATAGTCACATTTCATGTTTTTTAAAGCTTGAATCAGATGCAGTACCTAGTTTAGATTAGGTACTACCAGAGATCCACTGAATGTTCTCAGTTGACTAATTTCTATCTTTCAATGCTACTGAACCAGACAACTTTGATTTGTACTTTTACCTTTGAACCATGGTTCCAACTTCAGACTGTTGCCTGGTAGATAAATGCTAGTTTGTATGTAACAGCAAGTTATGGTTTACGCTAAAGAGAAAAAATCTATTGAATCAGAGGATGTAAAAAGGAGGAAGAAGTTATGTTAGTCTGATACTCATAGACGCAAACCCAAACCGTGATATAAACTAGTCTAGTTTTCACAATGAAGTGGGCTGGATATTTTCTTCCTGTGCCTGCGCTAATATATGTTCTGTCTCTCTGTTTCCTTCTCAGGGAAGTGGGAATGCCCGTGGCACCAGTGTGCCATCTGCGGCAGCCCAGCAACCTCGTTTTGTGAGTTCTGCCCTCGCTCTTACTGCAAAGATCATGAAAAAGGATCCCTTGTCTCCTCAGCCTTGGATGGACGCCTCTGCTGCTCTGGACACAACCCTAAAGCTCCGGTGGCCCCCGAGTATTGGGGCAAGATCAAGCGCCGACCAGAACAGCAAAACCCAGAGGAAGCATCAAAGGAGTGAAGAGGTTCTTCCACCAAAACGCCACACAACATTGTACCCGTTCAGGGTGGCAAATCATTGTGAATCTAGATCCAGTGCCATGGGAAGCCTCAGTCTTCAGCACTGCCTCCGTGGGACTCCATTAGGGACCGCTGGATCTTGGGAGGCAGTTGGAAGCCTGTGCATCTGATGAGATCCGTTTGCCCTTGAATGTGTCTTTCAGGCTCTCAAAGATCCGAAAGAAGCATCTTGGCAACCTTTTTGTTAGAAGAGGAAACCTTTCTGATGCGGGGGAGGGGTGGGCAAAAGGACATTCAGTTTAAAGTATGTTCTCTGCGCGTAGAAAAGAAACATAGCAAAAATATTTATTTATTTAATTTTTAACGGACTTTTTTGAGGATTTCTGGTTCTAATACAATCAGTGTGTCTGAAAAGAGTTAGCAGCACCAGCCTGGTATCTATCTCTGTATGTTTTTTTTTTTTCTGTCTAGTTTTACAATTATGAAAAAAAAATCAGATAAATCTTAAATCTTATTGTGGCAGTTCCAAGTGAGATACTTCCAGTAACTTCATGATGACAAGAGTTTTGAGATGGTGCACCCCTCTTTCCTTTCAAGGGAGAAATACCTTCTCCCACAAGAAATTAGGACTCCACTTACCTTGGAAGGGCATTCTTGACATGATGTTTTCAGTCACTTTGGAAGCATGTACCCTGGCAGCTTCTTAGATATACGGTGTTTGCAATTCTGCTTTATTTCTAAAGGGCTTATGCAGAAGAGTCTGGTAGGTTGTGCCTATAAAAATCTGGGTGAAAATGCTGTAAGGAGCCTAGGGATATTTCTCCTTTGGCCCTGGAGTCCAGTTTCATTATGCATAGGTCACTTTTCTGTCACTATTGAATTTGAAGGAGACTTAAGCAGGAACGTCTTTGGAACAGTGCTTTTCTTGACTGTTGTACATCTCGCTGTATGATGGGAATCAGCGTGGACCACCTGCATTTACAGGTTGGATGTTCAGGCTCTTCCTTGGCAAGCCTTCCTTGGTTCTTCTTTTATGGATCATGTACCATGCAGAATCTGTAATCTTGCACGGTGTGATTTCCACAATAATAGATTCTGATTAAGATTTATCTTTTAAATTTGAAAGGCAGAATTTGGCTGCCAGTTGGTGTATTTTATATGGCCAGTTTTGTTCTTGTTTCATCTGATTTTGATGTGGGTTATTCAAAGGAATATCTTCATTGGATAGGAATGGTCTATCTTACAAAGCCATGTGTGTATTTCATAAAGACTAGTTTATTAATCTTTCTAAAACAGTAGGCACTGAAATAACGTAGCTTATACTTGTTCCCATTGGGTACTCCAAATGTCTCCTGAAATACTTGTTTTTATTTAAGATGCTTAGTTGAATAACAACTGTATATTGATTTATATGAACATAACAAATTAGGCGATTCCAGAAAATAGACAGTATTTTATGATGCCAGTAACTCCTTTCTTAGGTTTTTTATTAGTTTTTTAATTCTTCTTTTTAAAAGCCTATAAAGGAAAAGCAAATACAGCTTCTATTTTCCTAATCTGCATAGGCATAAAAATAAAGCTGCATACTACATTCCTTTAAAACACCTGAGATGTCCTTCAGTTTTCATTCAGTTTGCAAATTCCTTTGCAGATCACTGACTTCACTCTTGTATTGCGTAAGCTTCAAAATCTTGTGGACTAAATATTACAGAGCCCTAAAAGAAGATGCTACGCATTTGATTACACTAATGAACATTTAAAGGAATTTTTGAGAACACTACAATTTATTTATGTATATTAAGATTTAGATTTTAGGGGTTTTTTTGTTACATATTTGATTTTTGGGGTAGGAAAAAAAAATAAGGTCACAGGGGAAGAAATTCTTTCAGAGAGGATTTTGTCCTAATCTAAGAATTCTACGTTCAGTATTTTCTCAGAATTCCTATCTTTACTCTCTTCCCTACACTCCATTATCCCTTGACAGATTGGGAATGGCTATAGAGTGTCCAGATTTCATGGCAGTGCATTTCGAGAGGGCAAATATATAATTAGGGAACAGATACCACTGAAGTTGAGGTGGAGTTTTGAAATACTGCAACTCAGTCAGTGAACAGCATTAAAGCTTGAGCTGTGCTGTGGCACCATGGACCAGATCATGTTCTCCTTTCTCTTCTTTACTCACATCTTCCCCCCTCTGTCTCTCTCAGCTGCCATGTACTGTTCTGGTTCTTGTCTTTTCATCATGTTTAGAAGAAACTTGTTCCATTTGGGTGGAGAGATCTTTTGTCCTTACTAGCAGAGCATCCAGCATCATGATTATAATTTGTATGTCACCTCAAGTGCAATTTTGCAAGGAAAAGTGGCTAAAACTGTTTATAAATAGAAGGGTCAGTGGGCGGGTGGTCAACAGTCAAAGCCAATCCTGTTTAGCCCACACCTGAACCAGCCCTATTCTCAGAAGAAGAGGACACTCCATGACGATGTCAATTTAAATTAGTGTTTCAGATTTTCTCCACTAATGGGTGCAAATATGAAGGAAGCATGTATTTTATTGGGTGATACTTTTTTGTTAGAAAAAGCCTTTTGAACCCCATAAAGGTTCTCCATTAAGCTAAGATGTTTTAAAACTTAGCTGGCTCGCTCCTGAGTGGATTTTAAATGTTTTCGCATTGTTCTAGAATTGAGTGTTTAGCTCGTTTTGTTCTGTTTTGTTTTAAGAAATAGAATGGGAAGGTTTTCCTTTGAAAATGCAGATCTACAATAAGCAATATGACATTGTTAACAAACCGAAACGCTGATTATGAGTAAAGAGTGTTTTTGTGAGCAATGGCAATATTAAAGGTTCCTGGATTCCCTCCCTCCCTTCTCCCAATTTCTAATTATTTGGTCTGTTGGCCTCTGTAAAAGTGGGATTGAAGGAATGCTATGAGAGATGGAGTTGAGTCAAAGGAAGGCTGGCGTTCTTCTCTGAATATATGCTGAAAACAGGTATTTCTTCTCCCTCCTTCCCATCCTCCGGTGTGTGCTTGACTTGCAAAACACTCCCTATTTCCTCCACTTCTTCCTAATTACTTTATAAGGTAGGGTGCAAGAGTGTTTTCTTTTTCCCAAGCAGTTCATACAAATGAGTAAAAACTGCTGATTATCCTGTACGCACTTAAAATCGATTGAGGTTTCCCTGAGATCTCTTGCTCTGCGCCCTTCTGTGGGACAAACCTATTGAACCTAGTGGCACTTCTTTCTGAGTGGACATGCGCAGGATTGCGTTGTGAATTCAGCGAAACGTAATTTCTGAGTAGGCATCCATAGCTTTGCTGTTTGTATGCACAAGCCATGATAGGGGTTCCATAGAGAAATGGCTACATTTTGCTTTATCCCATAGATCATGCACTTTAATCAGGAGTGGAAAGTGGTGTTGGCTTGCTCCACTAGAATACTGCAGTTTTGTGTTCTTGCAAGGGTGGAGATGCTTTCAACATGAGATCGCAACCTACAGAATACAGATATCTTTTGGCTGTATTGGCATAACTCTGACTAAAGTCTGTGGAATGCTTTTGTATTGCAGCTTGGGTTACATATATGCCTCAAGGAAACATGTTTTTGTCTGCAGGGACATGAAAAGGTAGTGTGAAAACATCTGACTAGGTAAACAGTTTAAAGAAAATAGTTTTGACACTTAGATTTCAAGCAGGTGTCTCGTGAATCCTGGGGATACACAGGTGGGATAGCAATTTCTACACATTTTTTAGACCTACAACTGCTTTGTCAAACACTCCAAGGGTCGCAATTCATACAAGCAATGAAAAACCGAGAAAAATTTCCGCCAAGCAGCGTGTGCCTAGGAAATTCCACAGGATATGTAATTTGTAACTGATGCTGCTTGTGCTTTGAGGAATGAAGCAAGCAGCAAAACAAGGGATATTCTGGTCTTCTCTTGTGAGCAGCTACCCGCACAGTATTTTTTAGCATTTCTTTTTTCACTCCTTAGCAGACAGCAGTGTGATTTCAGGCTTTAACATGTGAAAACATGAGCCAGTTGCTGAAGTTGATGTCAAAGCTCTGAGAAGCCTCTGCTGTTATCAAGTGTATGTCTAAAGAAGAGTGTTTGTATGTGGTCATGGTGCTGCTGCTTTCCTTCAGGACATACAATACAGGCACGCACTTCCTACATTCTGTTTTAGGAGCCCTCAGGTGCATATCTGTGGGTTAAAATGCCGCGTGAGAAAGTTCTGTAGAACTTGTGATTAAGATGAAGGGGCTCGAATGCCTCCCTGGCTTTATGCTTGGATTCCGTCTGCATACCCAGGTGGCATTCAGAAGGTGTAATTATTACAGTATCATTGCCAATGACCTGAAAACCAGTTGACTGTATATATGGAGATGTTAAGGGTAGGGTTGGGACGTGGGGAATGTCTCCCGCTGGTACGAATATAGTCACTTTAACATTGTATCTTCTGCCTCATTGAATTCAGGGTTTAAAGTACTTGAAACTATTTCCATGCTTATTTTACAGTTTGTGTTTTATTTATACATTTCCTATTGTATTATGAGAGTCTCTCTTCCCACCGTAACACAGAGTCTGAAATAGATTTCTGCTTCTATTGCACAAGATGAATCCAAGGCGTATAGGAAATACTTGGAAAGTAAACTTAACTCCTTTTCTTATGCTCTTAAGAGCTGTTGCCGGAGATAGTAGCAGCATTATGACTTTCCAGTATGTTTGTTGCTTACACTAAATGGGCCCTCCTGCTTTCTCCTCCCCATGTCAGAGTTTCAGACAAAAATAAAATGCACTTATCATATCACTCCTTGATCTGTATAGATAACTTTGCAAGGTGGACTTGAGCAAATCGGTATCCAGCTGCATTTTACCATGTGATGGGTTCCGGTTGCAAATATAATTGGGTGAGTGGCACTCTCCCTCTGTTCTGGAGAGGGTGGGAGGAAATGAAGCAGGCAGTTTTTGCAGCTGTGGTGACATGCAGAAAGCTAGAAATTGTCATCTGCATGGCATGAAGTCTGTCTATATTGATGTTTCTCAACCCTGGCAACTTTAAGCTGCGTGGACTTCAACTCCCACAATTCCCCCGCCAACAAGGGTTGGCGGGGGAATTGT